TCGAAGAAAATCGCTAAAAGCTCCTATTTTGCAAAAATACAATGTAAGCGGAAAATGTAGAGGGACTTGCAACATTTCTTGGCATTCTAGCACATAAACTTTCTTACCCCCCCTCCCAAAAAAGAAAAAGAAGACAAAACTTAACGCAGTGTCAAGATATAATTTTTAGTATTTTATGACAAAAATCGGTACAACACAATAATTTGATTTCGAAATTCCTTATAGTAAGTTCAGCCTATTTATACATGGCCGTGCACCACTTGTGGCACTGGGAACGCAGAAAGGCTTAAGATAGACCCACCTTTTATACCGGTCGATTCAGAACCATTTGCAGAGTCAATGTATAATTGTGTTGAAGCTAAAGGTCGCAAGTCTTGGGATATTCTAATGAAATTTTAGTACACTGACAAATTTTGACCCAAGGACGAACGCGTTTCGAAAACGGTTCAGATCGGTCCACTTTTTCGACCACTCTCTCGCCCTACATCGCCCTGTTTTGAAAGTGACTAAGTAATAGTATTTCGGTATTATAGATTTTTGTGAAAATTATGGACGGGCTGCGGCAATTTTTTGAATCCCCTCTCATATAACGAGCATTGACATCAGATCATAATTCAAGTAATTTAAAATAAAAAAAAAATTAACTGTACCAAATTTGGATCACCTCGATCTCTTCTTTGTATCCTACCCTATGTAAGAATTTTCACGAAAAACTTTAGATCTTAATATTTTCTGATGAAAATTGATCCATAATAATAATTTGATATAAAAATGGACCGTGTTGTGCATTTTGAACCTTTTGGGTACAATCATTCTTACCGAAGCGCTTAAGGCTTTAAACAGTTCCATACAACAGTTGCCCTTCTTTTTGGTCTATTTAAGGGTTCATGTGAAAAGCAAGCTTGCATATGGCAGAAGGAGGACATAATTTCTATATTTTATGGCCGAGATAGTTGGCGGAGTGTGTTAGGCGAAACAAGTGGTAGGGTATTCACAGTCGGCCTTACTCTACTATATCACTTACTGCAGAGGATAGGTTAGATATGCATCGAGCAATATTTTTGTTCAGTTTCGCTAACCAAAAACGACTTAGTCCTGGTGATTTGTCTCTTTGTCCGTTCGTTATACATAAATTAAATGCAAGCAAACCGGTCTCAGATTCTTCTTTGACCCCTCTCGTCAAGTTAAGTGCGAAAATAAATTGCACGAGCCAATCCATAATTTAGAAGAAAAGCAATATAATTTTTCCCCTTCCGCTCTTCCGCCCTTCCGCCTCATTTTAATGACTTTAAATTAATGAAATTGGATTTTAAGTTTATGGACAAAACAAATTTTCGTCTTTCATATTACGAGTAAATATCATGTAAGAGGCATGGTTCAAGCATGTCGATGTAAAGATAACGAACGAATTGCTAAACATTTTATTCGCGATACTTTGACAAGTTGTGCAAGGATAACTAATGAACTCTTGTTTTACTACACTTTTCGTACCTTTTTCGCATTTAGAGTGAATATAATTGGGGAACATGTCGACTATTCTGGCTATCCTGTGCTACCAATGGCCATCGATCAATGCATGATTTTAGCTGTTGGCATCGATGAGAATAACAATCTGATAAGTCTACGGAATTTAGAAAATCACAAATATCCGAATTTCGATTGTAAACTGAGTGATATCAAGTAAATTCTTCTTCTTTTTTTTTTAATAAAAAATTTGAAAATTTTTGTACTCAATTTTTTTAATTTTTAGAATAAATTTACCACAAACCGGTGGACCTATTTGGTTTAATTATTATTTATGTGGCGTGAAGGGTATTTTTGAAATTTTAAGCGGCGATCAGAGGCTCTACGGGATGACTGTAGCCTTAAGTGGCGATATACCACCCGCATCGGGTGTATCGAGTTCAAGTGCCTTGGTTAGTTCAGCCGTCTTAGCGACGGCGAAAGTTCATGGAGTTTGCTTGGATCGTAAGCGATTGGCTGGGATTTCGGCTCAATGCGAACGTTATATTGGTACACAAGGCGGGGGTATGGATCAAGCTATCGCTTATTTGGCCAAAGAGGGATGCGCCCAATTTATTGAGTTTTATCCCGAACTGAAAACTACCTCATTACATTTACCTCAGGGAGCTTGCTTCGTCGTCGCGAACAGTTTGACGCAAATCAATAAAGCTACCACTTCAGAGTTTAATGAGCGCGTTGTGGAATGTCGCTTAGCTTGCCGTTTAATTGCTTTTCATAAGAAATTCAATAACTGGAAGATGATAACAAAACTTGCTGAACTGCAAGATTTCTTAAAATGCGATTTAAGCGACTTGGAAGATATCGCTAGGAATCTTTTGAAAAAAGATCATTACACACGCGCCGAGCTATGCGGGATATTTTCGGTAGATAACGATGAATTTGAAAATGAATTCCTTTACGCGCACACGCATCACATGCAAACATTCAAGTTAAGACCCAGAGCATTACATGTAATACAAGGTAATTAACATTACATTTGCCTCGATCATCATTCTCTTATAATGTTCTTTACTTTTTAAAAATTTTACGTTTAGAATCTTTGCGAGTACAACGATTCCGTAAGATTTGCTCCGATGACAGCGTAGTAGAATCAAAATTGAAAACTTTATCGCATTTACTGAGGCAATCTCACGAAAGTTTAAAAACCCAATTCGAATGCTCTCACGCGAATTTGGATAGGCTGGTCGAAATATCCGATGAATTTGGTGTAGGTGCCAGGCTTACAGGAGCTGGGTAATTATATATCGCCGTAGATATCATGCATTTTAAATTGTAAAGACCCTTGTTTCACTTCTCGCTTGTTTAGATGGGGCGGTTGTATAGTGGCTTTGTGCGACTCCGTAGAGATCTCTCACAAATACATGGCAACTTTAAAAGAGAAATACTATTCCGAATTACCTGAGCCAATCTTCGACGAACTGCAATTAAACGATTTTCAAAATGTCATTTTTGCTACTTGCCCACGCGAAGGTGCCGATATTTTTACTTTGTCTTCATATGTTTGATATAATATAAGAGTCGTATTTGTTATCTAATTATTATGTAATTGTTTAAAGCATGAATACAGAAAGTAAAGCAAATTTCAATGAAAGATTTATACAAAAGGAAAAGGAGTCAAAAGGAGTCAGAGGAAATAAGCATTGGCAAGTACCGGGAATTGGTTAAGTAAACGCATCGCTTAAACAAATGGTAAAGTTCGCCTCAGTGGCCGAGTAGGCTGGGTAGGCTATCTCGACTGAACAACTCCAATGGTCGTGAGTTCAAATTTTCGCGTGCGGTAGACTTTTCAAACAAACCGTTGCTTTAAGACTTTGCATTTATTTCTCTGGTCGTTCGAACTAGTATTTGCCTTGTGATGGGCACCAATTATCAATTTGCTGAACGACGAATGCAAATGATCAGTTGAGAAGTTCTTGAAGATTCTAGATTTTAATTAAAGTACAGTAAAGCTGTGCTGATGTGATCGCATTCAATAAAACCATAAAGCGATCTCACGTGGTACAATAGGTCGCATATGAAGGGAGGTAGATGAAAAACTTGCCGAGTTTTGCATCTCGATCATTATCAAATTCTAAGGGTAATGGCACTTAAGCTTGGCTTTTAGGATGATTGTCAGTACTACTTACATATGTTATACATCAGCTCGAGATATTTTGACAGTCGGTACAGTAGTATGATTTCTAGCAACCAAAAATCCTTGCTAACCACCACCACCACCAGATCGCAAATCCGTGCCCGTCTAGGTAGAGAAGAAAGCGTTTCTACAGTTTCTCTGTGCACTTACATTAATAATAAGCGATCCATAAGATGAAATGAGATTTTATGAAAGATTCCAAGTGTTGCTTCAATGACGTTTGAAAGAAGATAATGTAAATTTGTTGCAACAAAAAAAAGAAAAAAGAAGAAGAAAACAGTTAGAAACATTTTATTTAAATAATATTTTTAGTATTTTTGATGCAAACTATTACGTTTTTACACGTTCTGTGTAAAAAGTAATGGGAATCTTTTATTTGAATAGTCTTTTTGGCAAAGGATTGAATACATTTGCCAAAAAGGCCAATGGTTTTCTCTGTTTATTTGCTTAATGTCTTGAAGATATCACGACCATTTTAGGTAAGTCGCGTCTACGTTTGAAATAAAATTTCGTTAATCGTAGAGAGATGCTCGGAATGATGAATTCGCCAAAAATCACATTTGAGCATTTTCGACTTGAATTGATTAATAAATCTAACGGAACACAGAGGTAAGGTTAGATTGGTTTTCCAAATGTGCATCGAAATGTTTAATAAATAAATTGTAAGAGTGAGAGCTTTTTCTGCTTTTTTTTGTTTTTTCTTGTTATACACACCACTGTAAGATGAGGGTAATTTTGCGTGCAAATTTGACTTGATTTAGCCATGTCTGTCCCTCGGGTGCGTCGGCGTGGTATGTGTTATTGGCACTCTCCTGGTCGCAAAAATAAGTTAACCTGACTTTGTCGAGTAAATATGAAGCTCTCTCAGCATGA